AGTATACTAAAAATAAGTCTACACTGTTTCATTTTCTAGAAAAGGTGAGTATACATGTATTCATCTAAGACAGAGCACTAAGGGGAGACAAAAGAAATAAAACCTCTCAACTCAAGTTTAGTGAGCAGAGAATTTTCTCAAAGATAAGTGAGAAACATTTGGTACTTACACACACACTACAATTGATATCTCCTGAGTGATAATCTCCTTTCTTCACAGTATAGGTATGCAATAACCAAAGTTATATATAAAACAAGTAACTAGGTTCTGAATATATGACTCTATTATTTTAAGAAAATATAATAGGTATCAAAGAAATATCAAGTACTCATAAAAATGAGGAAAATGTATGTACATGTATGTAGGAATATAAGTTGCATGAATGTGTGCATGTATGTGTGTGACTATATTCAGGAAGAAGACATTTTTTATGTTTAATTTTCTGATGTCTAGCACTGTTTGTTTCCACAGCTGTAGGTAATGAATCCAACAGCAAATTCACAGTGTGGTAAATGCAATTCTTAAAATGACCAGCAGCTCTGAGTTCAAGGTTTGAGCACCATGTTAAAATTGAGGAATATTTCAAGGAATTTGCTGGTATCATTATAGAGGAGGAACAAGTGAAGAATATTTCTTGCAGTACATATTTAGGGGCTGTTTTATTGTTTGCAAATTCCATACAAGCATGCAATGTACTTTGATCAAATCCACATCTTTTCTATCCATTCCTATTCGTCACTCCCAGTTCCCCCACACAACGTCATGAACCTTTTTCTTCCATTTTAGTGAAATTCTCTATATTGTATTTAATAAAAATTGTTTTGTGTGATATACACGGATCCATAGTAATGGATCTTCCCTAACCCCTTCTATATCATTCAGATCTCCCTTTTCCCTGAATCCATTAATTATGCATATATGTTCATGTGAATAGTGCCACATACTGGAGCATGAGTAGTCTCTCAGGAATTGCAATCCTAAAAGAAAACTGATTTTTCTCCATCCAGCAGTCATCAAACACTTAATGAAGTGAAAACTGGAGATTAATGTAAAATTTTCAGCTGGGGAGCTCCTAAGCCCACGGTTACACAAATTACAATGCATGACTTCTTTATAAGGAAGTGATAAGTGTAGAATATAGAGCAGAAGATGCCAAAGTGCTCCTAGTCAGCATTATTTCTGATAGAAGAACCATGGCTTGTTCTAAGAATGAAATCCATCTCCACTCAACTTCCAGCTCCCCTCCAATACACATCTTCAGAGACAGAGCAATCATGTGCTCAAGGTATAACACTCTCAAACCTAAACAGGTTCTATAACTTTCATTATTGTAAGTATTCTGATTTTAATTTACATTTTTCATGCAGAGCATTTTTATTTTGTAAAACTGTTAGGATAAATTTTAACTGAGACGATCTACATGATCTTCCTTTAAGTCTCGATATAACTATCAACATATTTGGCATGTTTTAAAATCATAGAATTATAGATTTTTTTGTATGTTCTTTTGTCTTTATTAGCAATGTTAGTTCTATACACTTGAAAACTAAAATCCTATACTCACATCTAAAGTCCCCCTTCAAACAGTATAATACTAACCTTCACAGGCAATTCCATATTTAAGAATGTCTTTATTAGATCCGTTCCCTTGTATCAGTGGGTGATAGCATCCCTCGCAGTACTGATTTCGTCTTTCATGTTCCTCCTCCTTCCGCTCCTCCTCCGGACCTCGGGGGGCTCAATCCGTTGCTCCAATGTGGGCCTCCGACTGCATAGCTGTCCTTCGCCAGACTAAGGATCTATGGTGATAAGCAAAATATACATCAGTATGGTCATGGGCCACGGCCGATTCAGGCACCCTCTCCTCTGTCCAGAGAACAATCTGGGGGATTTCTCTTTGGACCTGGGATCCCATATATAATCAAGTCTCCTGTAAACCCTAAAATGGCTCCCTTAGTTGAAATATATTGTTCCCTGATCCCATATTCATCCTACCTCCCTCCCCCCCCATCCCCGGCCACCAAGCTTTCCCCGTTCCTCCCCTACTCCCTTCTCTCTAGCCCTCTCCCCCTCCATCGACCCTCCCACCCCCCCATGCACCCGAGGTTACCTGGGACTCTTGTCTATTTCCTACCTCCTGGCGGATAGCTAAATAATCTTCATCAGGTTCATCTTCTTATTTAGCTTCTCTAGGATCACAAATAATAGGCTCAAAGACCTTTAATTATGGTTAGAATCCACTTATGAGTGAATACATACCGTGTTCCTCTTTTTGGGTCTGGCTTACCTCACTCAGTAAAGCGTCTTCTATTTCCATCCATTTGCATGCAAAATTCAAGATGTCATTGTTTTTAACTGCCGAGTAAAAGGGCCAGTCGGTCTGGGACTGAACGAGGACGTGATCTAGCCAGATTCTCGGAATTTGGCCGGATTCTCTGACTGTGGCTGGCCTGGGGTCTTTCTGAAATGCCATTGACTATGACACTGGGACCTGTTTCCTCTGCATATGCTGGATTTTGGGGATCCAGTCTGTTTGGACGCTCGCCTTCCTGGACCTGGAGGGAGGGGGAGGGAGCTGCAGCTTCCCACAGGGCAGGAAACCCTGACTGCCCTGGGGGACGAAGGGGAAGGAGGGGGGGCGTGGGGGCAGTGGGAGGGTGTTGGGAGGGGGGGCGGAAATGGAAACTTTTATAATTTAATAAAATTTAATTTAAATATTTAAAAAAAAAAGAATGTCTTTATTCACAAATTTTGTCAATTTTATATTCTAATATAATATTTATTGTTAAGAGTTTAATGGGTTTCAAAGAACCTATTTACTCTATTTCAGTTTATGCTTTCAAATATTTGAAGACATTTAAGATGTTTTGTTTTACCTTTACATAAACATCATTATACCAGTTAGAATTAAAAAGTATCATAACATTAACTTTCCTAAACAAGAGTCATTACTAAGAACTAGATGCTCTATTCTCAGTAATTTCATCTAGGTCCAGATTTAATGAAGTCAAAATCAATATTACTTTTTCTATAACTGATAATATGCAGTTAATGAATTGACCGTAATAACTTCAAATCACTACAATCCTAGAATCTGTCTGAAGTTTACTAGAGAACCAGAAACTCAATGTTTATTCACTAAGAGATTTTGTTTGAGTGGTTGATTAGTAAAGCGTTGGACTATGTATTTATGGACAATTTTTTAAATCAATATGAAATTTTCTTTTATTTTACTAATAAATATTCTGATACCTTTCTGAATTACTATATAACAGAAACTGCAGCAATGTTTATGATTTCAAGAAGCTTATTGTTACCTCTTCAATAACCATCTAATAAGCTTTCTGAACTAGGTCTGAATTACACACTAGTTCTTGCACAAATCCTGAACAATAAATATACTATGTAAACAAGTGTCTTGCAAGTAAAATCACAGTGTAATTTTGTGAAAATGGTCACATAGTTATCTAGAATTAATTAAACCAAGAACTTTGGAGCATTAATGATTGGGACTTGTGAATCATTCTAAGATTTCATATTCAGTAGTTCTTTAGTAGTTAGGTTTTTATGAAATTATAATATAGTCACAGAATCTGCCCCTTAACTGTCAGTTTTAGGTCTGACTTTCATTGCTTTCTATCTTCACTGAATCTACAAAAGTGAAAAGGATATTTCAAGATCTTTGTCCTTACTTCCACTCTCTCCAGGAGTTGTTTTTCTAGTCTGTAAGTTTATGTTCCAATTACACTTCATTTGTATTTTCTACCTTACTTATCCTGAAGCTCTTAAATTTCAGGAGAATAAAAGTTTTATTTCACATTTTCATTTAAACATCTGCAGTATGCAGTATATCAACTAGTGCAACAATTCCAATGGCTATGGAGTTTAGCACCTGAAATAGATTATTAACACCTTGACTAAGTATGGACCGTGTTACTCCAATTACTTTGTGAACAAAACTTATTGTTCAGAAACATTACTAGATTCCTCTGTAGATCTTGGGCTTAGACTTCCAATTTCTTCTGAGTTTTGAAATGTTAACAGGTGAAATGCAGTCTGTGACGTGAGGAGAGTTAGATTACTCAAGTCTGACTCTGCTTCCAACCAGGTGAAGAGTTTAATGTTCTATGGATGTCTTCATGCACATAGGCTTAAACATTTACTAGTTTAGGAGCCTAGATTTGAAACTTGTGTTTCAAGTAATTTAGCAAAATTCAGTTTCAGTTATTCAGTAAAGTCACAGGGGCAAATGGATGGTCTATAGCATAGAACTAACTAACTAACAATAATTTATAACAGATTTATAATGATATAATTATAATTTATAATTGTTAATTGCTCTTTTTCAAATAGTCAGCATCTGCATCAGATGTATGAATCATGTCAATATCAATATACTTGCTGTTATGTTAGATAGTTATGGTAGAACCTAAAAAATAATTACATCAATATGATACTTTCCAAAGACAATGAACTTAAAATAATCTCATTCAGATATCACATAAATAACAATAAATCATAGGGATTGAATGATTACATTATCACAAAAGAAAACTGCAAGATTAGAATTTTTTTAAATCCTATGACTATTTTCTCATATAGCAAAGAAAGAGTTTAGTTTATAAAACTTGAATAAACTGAACTATATCATAATATACATTATGAAAGTAATCTGTATACTTTCATATGTGTATATAATGATATTTTATTTGGTAAATTTTTCGATATTAGAGTTTTCTGTTTAGAATTAATTACATTTTTTTGTTCATTTAGATATTTTCTTTGCCTGTCTGGACATCTCAGTACTGATATATATTAGGAGAGTAAGTTAGTTATTAAAAATATGATTTTGAAAAGATTTTAAAATTATACATTATTATACTAAATTCTGAGAAGAACATAAAAATAATTTCCTTTCTCTACCTCTTATAGGTAATTCTTAAATCATACTAAGATTTATTCATTATAAGTGTATAAAATAATATGCACAATTAATTTCCCCAATGAATATTCTATTCTTGACAGAAATAGTTACAAATTGTAAATAAAATATATAAAGTATATTTATTAAAATCATTAAAAACATGTTTGGTTATAAGAAATGAAAAACACATTTTAGGTAGACTAACTTCCTGACAGTCTCTTTAACGTCTTTGTTTCTGAGGCTGTAGATGAGGGGATTCAGCATAGGGATGACCATGCTGTGGAAAACTGTGGCTACTTTCACGAGAAATAGTGAGCTTTTAGATTTGAGCACACAATATAGTAGAAGAACAATTCCATGACAGACACCAATAGCTGTGAGGTGGGAGGCACAGGTGGAGAAGGCTTTTCGGAGGGCCCCCTTCGTGGGAATTTTGAGGACGGTGACAACAATGAAAACATAGGAGGTGATGATAATCAGGAGGCAACAAGCCTCATTAAACATGGAAATGGCTAGACACGCCATTTGGCTGAAGGAGGTGTCCGAGCACGATACAGAAAGGAGGGCAGAGTACTCACAGCAGAAGTGATTGATGACATTAGGTCCACAGTAAGAGAGCTGCAAAAGGATATACGTGAGGGTTGAGGAGAAGATGACAGCCCATATGTAGGTCATGACTACTAGGAGAGAACAGAGCTGGTGAGACATAGCAACAGTGTAGAGCAGGGGGTTACAGACAGCCTCAAATCTGTCATAGGCCATCACTGCCAGCATGAACATCTCTGTAATCACAAATGTACACCCAAGGAAATACTGTGCCATGCACCCTTCAAAGGAGATAGTCTTGTCTTCTACAAGCAAGAGGTTTAACAGCTTAGGTGCAATTACAGACGTGTAGCAAAAATCAACAAAGGATAAGTGGCTGAGAAAAAAGTACATAGGAGTGTGGAGTTTGGGGTTAATCCTGATGACAAAAATAATACCGAGGTTTTCCAACACGGTGACTGTGTACATGATCAAGAATCCCAGGAAGAGGGGCACCTGGAGGTAAGGGAATTCTGAAAAGGCCAAGAGAATAAAAGAAGGCACCATGCTCCCATTTCCCTCATTCCACCTCTGGCTTCTGTTGGAAGAAATCACAGAGTTCATCCTGAGCAGTAGTCTGCAGCAGAGGAGTGGGTTATGGACGGCAGGCGCACTTCTAAAATGAGCTGCTGGAATTTCATGTATCAAGTGTTTATCAGCGACTTCTCCTTGACATACTTATGCTTTATCTCAATCACGGCCCACTTTCTGTTTGAACATGTCATGTGTTTCTTACTGAACAACTCATGCCCCTCCTCTGTAAATAAAAATTCAATCATTACAAAACCGTATAAATTATTTACATAAAATAGCAAGATATACTGAAAGATGAAATGATGTCACAAATATTGTAAAAGTCACCAAAATTTATGAAATTGTACTTACATCTCAATGAATAGTAGAGAAATCATGTCTGGTATTGTAAACCTTTCCTGCTTGCTCTGGCTGCTGAGGCCATGGATCCCAGAAGAGAAGCTACTAATACTAATTCACTGAGTCAGTATACTTTCTAATTGCTTTCTAATACTTATCCTTATTTCCACAGAAAAACATAGTTCACACCTTCATCAAAGAAACTTCATTTGCAGCAGATGGAGATGATTATAGAAAACAACAAAGGATCAGAACACAGACAATAACTGACCACAGGGTGTCTTATCCTATTTAACACATCTGCAAGGCAGCCCTCATATCTAATTTTAAGTCAGTGGTTCTCAGCCATCCTAATAATGTGCCTTTTTAATGCAGTTCCTCCTGCTGTGGTGACCCCAAAAATAAAATTATTTACTGTTTCAAAATATTTACTATTTCAAAACTGCAGTTTTGCTACTGTTGCAGATAGGAATGTCAGTAACTGATATGCAGGATATCTGATAAACAACCCCCAAAGGGGTTGTGACCTATAGGTTGAAAACAGATAGTAAAGTCACATCACAAAAGAGGGCACAGAAAATTGTAACAGCCAGAGAACCAGGACAATAAGTCAGTTGTTAGGACATGTCTTTTATATATGACAGAGGATCTTCAACCATGAAATTTCAACAAGATCTAAAATAAAGTACTATTTTTTTATGCCTACTAAGATGAGGGAATTCTCACAAGGCTACACTCCTAGAGGACAAGTTACTGACAATTAATGGTTACTGAGAGAAAAAGAATCAGTCTTCTCCAGGGACATACTTCCCGATAGGTTAGTCAATCCCAAGAGGTCACTTCTAAATAAGATTGAACAATACTAAATGATCTTAGCTGCTTATATTTATAAACTTGAATATATGTAATTATAACTAAAGAATAATAGACCTTGAGTTTGCAACAGAGTAGGAGGCACCCAGGAAAAATTGGAGAATGGAGAGGGAGAGTGAGAATGATCTATCTATAGAATTAGACTTTGGTTCAAAAATTCTAATTTTAAATGTCTTGTACTTTGTTTCAATATTTCAGTTGATATTTCTTACCTTGTCATATTTTTTTTTCAAGACGAGGTTTCTCTGTGTAGCCCTGGCTATCCCGAAACTCACTCTCTAGACCGGACTGGCCTCCAACTCACTCATGGAGATTTGTCTGTTCTGCTGGGTTTAAAACCATGTACCACAACCACCCATCCTATACTATCATATATTTTAATGTGGTGTCTTACTTAAGGTTTGTATTGTTGTGAAGAGACACGATGACTATGGAAACGCTTATAAAAAATTATTTGAGGTGGCTTACAGTTTCAGAAGTTTAGTCTATTACTATTATGGCAGGGAGCAACGCAGAGTGCATGCAGACATGGCGCTGGAGTAGTTGAAAGTCCTGCATCTTGTACGTAACTGGAAGTTGACTGGCTCACTGGGCAGTGTTACAAGCATAAGAATCCTCAAAGCCTTCACCACAGTGACACACTTCCTCCAACAGAGTCATACCAACGGCAAGAAAACCACACCTGCTAATAGTGCCACTCTATATGGGATTATGTGGGCCAATTAGATTCAAACTACTGCATGTGGTCTGGAAACAGATTGTATGTGCTGAACACCATGTGAAAATCCTCACAATAAACTTCAAAATGTGCTCTTAGTCTCCATTAAGTATTTCATAACAGAAACACTGTGGGCAAACTTTCAACACAGGTCCATAGGTAAGGTTTCTAAATGATGTCTGAGAGAAAATGAATCTTATCTCATATTTATGTTGACAAAAGTGTAAGTTGTGGTATTATATCTATCATGCATGCCAGGGTCAATTCAGGGTCTCAATTCAGTTCTGTTTCTCACTTTGAGTATCATGAAAATTTGCTTTGTTTTGTATGTGCTCATACCTTCTGAAAGCCATATTACGCCAGCAGGTTGTTGTGCATAACTAAATCGTAGTACTCAGGAGACAGAGGCTGACGGACCTCTGTGAGTCCGAGGCCATCGTGATCTACAGAGATAGTTTCAGGAGAGGCTCCAAAGTTGCACAGAGAAAGACTGTCTTGACCCCTCCCCACCCCAAAAGCTACATGTTTCAATAGGAAAATGAAAAATTTCAAGCCAGGAAAATGAAAAAAACTGGAACTGCATGTAATTTGTTCTTTGCTTTATTTCTTAACTTGTTATCTGCCTGGACCTGCTACATTATTGTAGTTCATGTACCTATACATACATACATACATACATACACACACACACACATATATATATATATATATAATTTTTTGAATATTTACTGTCATTAAATATATAATGCTAAATATGCATATTAAGGTATATACTAATTCAAAATGCAACATTCAATATAATATATTGAACTTTGTATGTGTGTGTGTCTGTGTGTCTCTGTGTGTGTCTCTGTGTGTGTCTGTGTGATTCTAGTGGCCAGATTTGGTTTAACTCTTTATATATATATTAATATGAAAAATGAAAGTATTAGTAGGAGGTAATGGATCAAAACGTATAAGAAAATGTATAACTGACATACTTATTGAAAGAACAGCAAGAATAAGTTTAAACCTCATTAAGGAACTTAGTCTTATTATAGTGACCTTTGGTCTAAATATACTTTTGGAACAAAGAATATCTACTTTTCTGGCTACAAACTGACATGTGTGACTCCATTCCATTTTAGCCAGTCTCCTTTCTTGACTACAAGTAGGATCCTGGATAATGTTGAGACACTAAAAGATTTATGTATGTGTCTAGCCATCATACAAATGGTGCTATTTTCCTTCAAAATACATTTTTTGTACTCAAAAAAACTGCTCCTGTTTTGTGATGCACAGTAGATATTCCTGTATTATTGCTTTGATTATGTTTGGTTCTGCAGGGATTTTGTTCATTTATTTCTTTGAAGCAGGGTCTTTCTTCATAGCCCTGGCTGTAGTGGAATTCACTGTGTAGATGAGGAAAACTTTGAACCCAAGAGTTCCACCTGCCTCTGCCTCCCAAGAGAACCACTACAGCCTGCCATTGCTCATAAAGCCTGTGGTAGAAATTATCAATTTCCCAAAAATAAGTAGCCTTTACCTTCAATAATTTCTTTGAAATTTGGAGATATTTAATTTTATTTTATGTGAATGTGTGTCTTCCTTGAATCCTTGTCTGTGTACCACATGCACTCCTGGAGCCATCTGAGGTTAGAAGAGGAGGTTTGATAATTGGAACTGGAAAAACACATTGTGGTAAACTACCCTAGGAATGTTGGGCACCAAACCTGGTCCCTCTGTAGTAATGGCCGATGCTCTTAACAGTTGAGCTCCTGGGAATTTCATTTTGAACCTATTTCCTTAACACAGCATCAATACCATCAAAATACTGCTTTTTGCTATGCCAAGTAGGAACAACATTCCTTTTTATCTATATTGCTAAAACTAATGGGTTACCTTAGAAGATTTCGTTCAAGATCATGTTAGACTTCAACCAGATTCACAAGACTAAAGTTTCCCTCTTTTGTCCCCTGCCGTTCTTCACAGTTGGCACCATTTATTTCTTGTTTTAACTAGCCTTCCTTTTTGAAATCATATCAGGATAGTTTTCTTTCTTAGACAGGCTTACTATAAATCGACAGCTACCTCCAATTCCAACATTTTACTACAACTGGCATCAATTTGTTCTTCTTTAATGACTGAGTGTAGGTGCACATATAACATTACTTTGTCCATTCAGCTGTTTGCAGATAAGAAGATTGATTGAATGATTTAGATGTTATGGCTATGATAAACATGCATGTTCAATGGACTCTATCATATTTTGACTAAGATTCATTGTGTACCTACTCATGGAGGATGTTACTGGATTATATGGTATTTCTAATTTTAGTTGTGGGGGACCTCTTAAATGCTTTGATTCACAGTTGCATTAATTAACATCAAATCTCTGAAGAATAGGATCCTCAACTCTCATATCTTTGCCAGTAAGTTAGGATTTGTTTATTCTAAATGATGTGAGAAGGAATCTCAACAAAGTTCTGACTTAAATTTCATTGACGGCAGAGGCTTTTACATATTAATATGTATTGTACTCATGCATAAGGTTAGAGAAAAAGCTTCCAATTTCAGATTTTGCCCATTTAGTATAATTCTGACTGAAGATTTTTGTACTTTTTCTTAACTGTACTGATATCTGTCCCTTCTCTTTCAAATATTCAGAATTATTTCTTATTAAATAGTTTTAAACTTTATCAAAGGAACTTCCTCACTTTGTCTACTAATTTGCCACATATTTTCGTTCATTGAGTCTACTCATGTTCTGTACTCCACTTATTTATCTTCCTATTGGAAATGTGATTTCTTTTCAATCCATTATTCAAACAAATGTGATTTGTGTTGAATTTAGCATGTGAGCATATTTTGATGAGTGCTGTGTTTAACTCTTCAGGAAATTGAATGCAGTTCAATAGTTTGCTCTAACATTATCTAGTTTTACTATCAAGGAAAATCTAGATGAGTAGAATTAGTTTAGCCATGAGCCTGTTCAAAATTCTTAGCTGATTTGGAAAGTATGGGTATTAATTCCTGTGTAAAGCTTTGGGAGAGCTCTACTATGAGTGATTCAGTTTCATAGCAATTAAATTATCACTTTATCATCAACAATAATTAAAGTATCACCATAAGTAAACTATTATTTATCAG